CGTGGCAGCATGTGCTGGGGCCGTGGGCTGGCCTGGGGGGCTCTGCAGGGAAGAAGGATCAGCCCTGTCCGTCCCGGCTGGGTCCCTTGCCCGCAGCATTGCTCTGTGCTCTCCGGAGCCGGTAACACCAGCCACGTGGCACGGGAACCACAGCCCCGGGTCGGGCATTAGCATTGGGTTAGTGCCGGACAAACGACAACACAAGTGCACGGAGAAAGCTGCTCTTTAGAGCTGTGGGAGCAATGCCAACGTGGGCAGATGCAGCCGGGGCTGCCTGCTCCTCCCGCCGGCGTCGCTCGCAGGGTCTGAGGCTGCTGCGAGGTGCGAGCGGTCGCAGTTGCGAGCGGTTGCCGAGGTTGCATGTGGTTGCAAGGGGCCACGGGTACAAGCATGGGCACGTGTCCGGCCGTGGCCCCTGGCACCCTCCGCTTGCACCGGGAGAGGCTCTGAGCGCTTCCCAGGTACAGCACGGCCGAGAGCCGGAGCTTGCTGCGTGGGGAAAGCCTGTTTCCCTGCACGGATCTGGCTGTCAGGTTGAACTCCTGATCCTGATGGTGTGGCTCCAGTAAATTCCCAAGAGTCGGAGCAAGCCGCAGTCAGGCAGGAGTGCCCGCACAGCGGTGATAACCAAGCTGCAGCTGGGCGATGCAAAGAGCCGCCTTGACTTTGCACAGGGCCACGGCTATTAGCAACGATGGGTAAAAACATTTGCCTCCTAAGCACACGCCTTAAAGCAGCACTGGAAGAGCATCCATGCCGTTAATTAAAAATGCACGGCAAGGCGTAACGGGAGCTAGCTGGCCACAGTTGCTTGCTATAAAGCCAAAAGGCCTCTCGTGGCACAAGGGATTGGGATTATAGGGAAGCAGGAGGGCAAAAAGTTACAGGGAGCCTTAGGAGATGCCAGGGCTGCGTGCTGGGAGCCTTCTGGGTGCTTTTGCAGCAGGAGGAGAGCCTTTGCTGGGGGAAAGAGAATCAAATCCTTGGCAGCTTTCCAAAATTACCTACCAAAATGCAGTGGTTGTGGGCAGATCTGTGTGCTGTAGCCTCGGGGGAGATGGGGTGTGCGGGTCTTGTAGCCCCGTGCAAAGCTGAACAGCCGCCTGCAAACAGCCAGGCGGTTGCAAAGGCGCTCGTTAGGCGCGAAGCGTGAGCCGTGCGTGCAGAGCCCGGCAGCACAGGCTCTGCGAGAGCAGCTGTAAAACACGAGCTGCTGCAAGGGAAGGGGTTTGCAGCGAGCGTGACTCAACCGCCACGTGCTTCCAGCACGCCCGAGGCGCCGCGGCCGGGAGGGTGCAAGAGGAGCCCACCCTGCGGGAGCGCTGGAGCCCAGCACCACCCCGGCGTTTGGGATCTTCTCGAAATGTAGGGTGCAAAAGGGCCGAGATGAATCTCACCACGTGCACAGGTCGGGGTTTCATGCTGCTGAGC